TCAAAAAGATTTGCATACGCAGGGTAATATTTGTGGAAGTGTACATAAGACTGTAAGCGTAAATTAAATTTGCATGCGCAAGAGAAGTTTTGTAAAGGTGTAAATCGCGTTTCAAGCGCAAGAATTTTTTTTTTGCAGCATTTTATTGTTATTCGTAAGTGTAATTCATGTATTGTGAAACTGCAGCTTCATGCTAACGCAAAATAAATATGATCTGCATGCTTCTGACTTCCATTTTTCCGCGCTTACACTTTTGCCATGTTTTTTTCGCTAAAAGACGGTCAAAAGCACTGCAAGCCTGTGAACAGTGATTTGCAAGCGAAAACAACAGTTTAAAGAACTGCAAAACGGATTGACTGCATAGAACCAGTCTGTATGTGTAAAAAACAAACTGTTGCAAATGTCTAAATGACTTGTTGTGCATGTGGGGCAAAAAGTTCCCGAAATAAACCGATATGTACAGCTCCGTCTCTCTTTTCTCTGCGCTTACAATTTTGGCACGATTCTCTCACTAACTGAGTTTTGCAAGCGTGAGGGGGAGGGCGGGTCCTCCTTCTTCTTGTAGCCAATCAAATGAGCCTCTCGCTGACTCAATTTACTCTTATCTGATTGGTCCAATAAACACATCACACGCCTAGACATTAATCTTCATTTAGTTCAGGATCGTTCTTGCTGCCGGAATGGTACTTTTAACGTACACATACAGTAAAAAAATGAATTAAAAAATAACAACTTAATTAAAACATGATATTTTATAAGTACATATCGGTTTATTTCGGGAACGTTTTGCCCCACATGCACAACAAGTCATTTAGACATTTGCAACAGTTAGTTTTTTTACACATACAGATTGGTTCTATGCAGTCAATCCGTTTTGCAGTTCTTTAAACTGTTGTTTTCGCTTGCAAATCACTGTTCACAGGCTTGCAGTGCTTTTGACCGTCTTTTGGCGACAAAAACGTGCCAAAAGTGTAAGCGCGGAAAAATGGAAGTCAGAAGCATGCAGATCATATTTATTTTGCATTAGCATGAAGCTGCAGTTTCACAATACATGAATTACACTTACGAGTAACAGTAAAATGCTGCAAATATTTTTTTCTTGCGCTTGAAACACGATTTACACCTTTACAAAGCTTCTCTTGCGCATGCAAATTTAATTTACGCTTAAGGTCTTATGTACACTTCCACAACTCTTACCCTGCACATGCAAATCTTTTTGACGTCATAGATGTGGAGCTGGGGAAGGTGGAGGGTTTCTGAAGCAAGCTGCAACTGCTATGGCAATATATTTGAATGTTGAGCAGCCAGCTCATTGGCTACCGATACAGGAGAGAACCAATCATGGTTCTCAACCTTTTTTTCCACCGGGCCACACTATGGTCCAAGTGCAAGTCTCGCGGGCCGCACGCATATAGTTTACATATTACGTCAGCAATACAAACCAACCTGATTTATAATATTATAGCCTAAATATTAATCGATTACATCGATTACATTCATTGAAATAAATAAATAATTCTACTCCCCATAAATAACACCCAATTTTGGCTCGAAAGGCAAGTTTTTACTAGTAAGAATACAGTTGTAGAGCTCTGTAACTAGATTTCTTACTAATAAGAATTGAATTAGAGAGCTCTATAATCATAATTGTTACTAGTAAGAACTGAATTAGAGAGCTCTCTTATTGTATTTATAACTAGTTAAAATAGATTTAGAGAGCTCTTTAATTGGCACTGTTACTAGTAACAATTAACTCTCTAAACTCTCTAATTGAATTGTTACTAGTAAAAATGCAATTACGACGAGTAATGCTTGAAATATAAACGGCTTGTTTTTACACCCCTCGGGCCGGGCTTCGGGCCAATTTTCACGTCACAGTTCAGACGCGGGCCGGGCCTCGACCCTGTTTTAGGCTTCTCCTTATTTTTATATTTTAGACATCCATCAATTAGTGATGATAAAAATTGCCGTTCTGGTGGAAACAACACGAGACCGTGCTACCGCGACTGTCAAGAGCGGCTCGACGGTGTTTATTGTCCAGCAGCATGCGGTGCGTGCCGTCAGCGCAGCTGAACAGTTCTGCGTTCAAATGCACGCAATAGGCTTAAGCTTGCCGCAAAGCATCGGCAAAAGTAATTACCACAAATGTGTCAGGGGGAAACAGTAAATAGATATTTATGAAGGTAGAATGACGTCAAAAAGATTTGCATACGCAGGGTAATATTTGTGGAAGTGTACATAAGACTGTAAGCGTAAATTAAATTTGCATGCGCAAGAGAAGTTTTGTAAAGGTGTAAATCGCGTTTCAAGCGCAAGAATTTTTTTTTTGCAGCATTTTATTGTTATTCGTAAGTGTAATTCATGTATTGTGAAACTGCAGCTTCATGCTAACGCAAAATAAATATGATCTGCATGCTTCTGACTTCCATTTTTCCGCGCTTACACTTTTGCCATGTTTTTTTCGCCAAAAGACGGTCAAAAGCACTGCAAGCCTGTGAACAGTGATTTGCAAGCGAAAACAACAGTTTAAAGAACTGCAAAACGGATTGACTGCATAGAACCAATCTATATGTGTACAAAAACAAACTGTTGCAAATGTCTAAATGACTTGTTGTGCATGTGGGGCAAAAAGTTCCCGAAATGAACCGATATGTACAACTCCGTCTTTCTTTTCTCTGCGCTTACAATTTTGGCACTGCTCTCTCACTAACTGAGTTTTGCGAGCTGAGGGGGAGGGCGGGTCCACCTTCTTCTTGTAGCCAATCAAATGAGCCTCTCGCTGACTCTCCATTTACTCTTATCTGATTGGTCTAATAAACACATCATACCCAAGACATTAATCTTCATTTAGTTCAGGATCGTTCTTGCTGTCGGAATGGTACTTTTACTAATAAAATTAAAATCTATAAAATTTAATCACCAGTATTTACACAGTTTATTTTTAACCTGCAGTTACAGATGCATAAATAGGCCTAATGACCTAATCAGACCTAACTGATATTTGAAATAATTTGAAACATGAAAAAAATAGTTGAAATGTGAAATTAAAACCACCAGTAGGTGGCAGCAAGTGACTGTTAATGAGTGAGTCATTGAGATTCAACCGATTCATTCAAACGACTGATTCATTCACATACAAAGCATTTGACTGTGTTAATGAGTGAATCACTGAATCATCTATTCAACCGATTTGTTCAAAAAGCTGATTCACTCGATAACTAAACAACGTCCATGTTCAAAAAGCTGATTCACTCGATAAGTAAACACCGTCCATTGCTCAGAGACACAAAACAGTGCTCTGATCTTTGTTTGGAACTATTTTCGTTAGCAAAATTGAGCAAAAACAAGCAATATTATGTCTAAAATGTAAGTCACGTTGCTTTACTGAACGTGTATAAAATGATTATTAAATGTGTTCATTCTGATATCTGCAGAAAAATGGTACTCTTTGTGTGATATAGATTAAGTTAACTATATTAAATTATATAAATATAAAAAGCATACACAAGCATTTTTGCCGTCTACAATTTAGAATGCCTGGAATTTTGAGTTTTAATAAACTAATAAATCATGTGCGTGCACTCTGTGTGTGATTTGGTGATATAGCTTACTTGATAATGTCAGATCGCACATCATTACAACAACACATACCATATTATCGCAGATATACTGTATATCGCAGACCCCAGACTTGACTTGAGTGGAACATGAAATCACCCACGGTTGTGTGCGCACTTGTTTGCGGTGTTTTTAGGAGTCTAACTTGCCAACGCCAGACCACTGATTCGTCAAACCTGCTTTCCTGCAGTCCGCTCTATAGATATATTTATCATGTCTGTGAGGCATGTAGGCTATTCGCTGAGTTTCGTTTAATTTTTGTGAAGCGCACCTGTTGAAGACCGAGACGGCAGAAAGCGCATCATGTTTGTTTTCTTTATTTTATAAAAGCACAACATTTTGTTGATATTGTGAGTGCACACAAAGTACGAAAGATGTATTACTCGAGTTTTACCTTTATGAGCAAAAATGACGGCGTATCCACTGAAAAAATGCAAGCAATCACGCTGGCACCTCGATGTCCTGCAAAGCGCGCTTTAGCTTCCATTTAATAGCTGAAACAGTAGTATAAGCTGTTTTGGGAGAAGGGGGAAAAAAGACGCGTTCGGGCCGGTAATTCTGATAAGCTGTCTGATAAGGGCCTAAATTTGAGGCCTCTTTGCTCCATCGTCTTCTGAAAAGGAAAATAAAAGGACTCTAGTTACTACCCAGCTAAGTTCAATTGCCAACTTCTCTGAAGTGTTGTTACTTACCTGCTTTTACCATCTTCATCTTCTGCTCACCAGTAAATAAAGCCTGTTGTAATTAACTACTTACCTGATTGTTCTCCGTGTGTTGCTGACACCTGCTAAATCAATAAATTTAAATAGGTTTTTTTTTTTAGGAAAAAATAAGCTTATACTACTTGGATATTTTGATCATTATTATTTATATGCACAGAATTTGTTGTCTTGCCTTTTCTTTAAGAGAAATACAAGCAGAAATTAATTGAAATTGATTTCTGTTCATGTTTTTTCTAAAAGAATACATTCGTTTATTTGTTGTCATTCAGCGGATTCAATCTGTCTCAGTAGCGCCCCCTCTATTCTATGCAGCTTATATACACTGTGTTTCAATATAACGCCTCTGTAATGCAGTTTTACAATCTTTATCAGCTTTCTGCATTGTGCAAACAATTGTGCAATATGCTGTTTCTGTGGTTTCTAGTGAAGTAGACTTTTCCTGCTGTCTGATGTGGCTGTGGTTCTGTGGAATAAACCTTAAACGTTGCTGTTATTGCCGTTTTTTAAATTTAAAATGTCCTTTTTTAACTCAATGTTTATCAGAATAGAAAAGCGAAAAACAATACTAGATGAATGCTTTTTGACATAAGGCATTGGCACTAAGAACATCCAAATTTATATAAACATGCTTACAATTTTCCATTAAATAAACACAGACGCTTTTACATGCAAAATAGTTTAATGGTTGATTGCATATCTCCATGAAAACAGTGTTTTGTATGTATTTGCTGACTGCATTGCAAAGCTTCATTAAATTGTTTAAATTCATTTCAAAATGTTTTAAGCATTCTGGAGAACAAAAGGGCAAAAATGCACACTGACGAATGGCTGATGCACTTGTTCTTCAGGGCATCATTTTTAGGAGCTTTTGTAGTTACTTAAGAAATCTTCGCCAACTGCAGAAGCCACCACTGCCTGGCAGGCAAATAGACTGAAGAGCCTCTTCATCATCAAGAATGAATGAATTATTGACTCTCATCAGACATTTTTTCTGAAGAATCTTGATCAAACAGGACGCTCCAGTACAGGGCGAGATCTGTAGAGATCACAGTTTGAGACATGACTGAATTCATATCTACACTTATAACACCACAACAACTGTTTTAGTACTTGAAAAAAAAAAAATACAACGAATGAATGATAACAGTCAGAGGCTACAAAGGGCTGCAAGTAGAAATTACAAAGCCAAGTTTTTTTTTTAGGCTTCTGGATGCTTGAAGCTTATTTCTTTAAGGTCTGCACAGTTTGGTCCTTCTCTACCAAGCAAGTTTAATCATAAGAATATGCATATATGCAGTAAACATTGTTATTTTTGCATTAAACTTCTTTATATGTACGTGTTTGAGAACATTCAGAATGGCAGAAAACTTAGTTGGGTGAAAATGAAAGCCACTGGATTTCAACAGCACTGAACTCGGAGTAATTTAGACTATGGTGAATTATTGTAAAAGTATGATTTGGATTATTACCTCACAGACACAGCCTCTCTGATACCTGCTGAGGTACACCTTTTGAACTCGGGAGAGTTGGTTCCAAGGCTCCACACGGTCACATAAATCAAGAACGACCCTGCCGTCCTGGACAGGTCCTTAGGTGGAAAACACAAACATTATTTTTTCCTTATGCATCTCAATTAAAGGGTTAGTTCACCCAAAAATGAAAATTCGCCTGTGTTTTACTCACCCTCGAGGCATCCTAGGTGTATATGACTTTCTTCTTCAGACGAATCCAATCAGAGTTATTTTTAAAATTGTCCTGGCACTTCTAAGCTCTATCATTGCAGTCGGTGGGTGTTTCTGTTGAACAGTCCAAGAGATGTTAAATAAAGTGAACGCATCCATAATAAAACGTGCCTCACACGACTCCGGGGGGTGAATAAAAGCCTCCTGTAGCGAATCCATGCGTTTTTGTAAGAAAAATATCCATATTTCAAACGTAATAAACACTTTTCTATCGCTTCCGGGATCTGTCGTACGCGGAAGCCATTCCAGGATGATGGAGTTTAGAAGTGCCAGGACAATTTTAAAAATAACTCCGATTGGATTCGTCTGAAAGAAGAAAGTCATATACACCTATAGGATGCTTTGAGGGTGAGTAAAACATTTTTGGGTGAACTATCCCTTTAAGGCGTGCCTTTAGCCCCGTTGTACCCTACTTTGCATGCACTGTAGAAGCCATTGGACAAAGTGATGCAAATTCAGAGTAGTTCAACCGCCACATTTCTTTTCATAGGAATATTTCTGTACGTCTTCAAAGCTGAACACACCTGTGGTTTGGTCTCCTCTTCATCCTTGTAGAAGTAGAGGTGGTCAGCACGCAACACAAACCAGCGCAGCTGCCAGTTCTTCATGATGCTCCTCTGCTTCTTCAGCCAGCCGGCTTTTAGCACTCCCTCTTGGAGACTCGGTGAGCCACGTGATGCCTCTCCCATCACCATGCTCTTGGACCTGGCTGCAGGTGACGAGAAGAGACGTACATGTCAGCGATCATCCTCATCATTTCTAGTCATGCATGATTTAAGGATGACAAGCACTTACAGTAGCAGAGGGGAAAACTGTCATCATTTACACAAAAGCAGAACTGTAGGCTATTGTGTGATTTCAGAAGACGTCATGAGTCATACCAACCACTTTTTATGAGATGTTTGCGGTGCTTTTGTGTCTTTTTTGAAGCTTTACAGCTTCACTCTCCATTCATGGCATAAATGCATGGAAAAAGTGATCTAAGCGATTTCTTAAAAATCCTCTTTGTTTTCCACGGATGAAAGAAAGCGTCACCAAAAACATGTAGCTTAGGGATAAGTGCTGTGTTTAACCTGTGAGGCAGTGATTTAAAAAGCCTCCTGTAGCGAATCCATGCGTTTTTGTAAGAAAAATATCCATATTTCAAACGTAATAAACACTTTTCTATCGCTTCCGGGATCTGTCGTACGCGGAAGCCATTCCAGGATGATGGAGTTTAGAAGTGCCAGGACAATTTTAAAAATAACTCCGATTGGATTCGTCTGAAAGAAGAAAGTCATATACAGCTAGGATGCCTCGAGGGTGAGTAAAACACAGGCAAATTTTCATTTTTGGGTGAACTAACCCTTTAATTGCACAGTTAAAGTTCATTAGCATATTTCAGCCTCAACTGATGTTAACAACCAGCATCAGGAATCAGGGTGTTCAGTTTCAACTCAAACTCTGCCTAGAGATAGTAAATGATTTTACCTGACAGCAGATACCGTCCGTTTTCCAGATTGATGCCACAAAAAGTTTGAGTGGACCTTGTGTTGATGACCTGAATTCTCTTCTTGTCTAATTGCTTAAATGTCTGAATAAAAAAAAAATATATATTATATATATATATATATACACACACACACACACACACACACACACACATACACATATTTCTTGTTAAAAAAAGATTGTATTGGAAAATGATGTGTCAAGTAGCCTACATTTTCTCACCTGAATAGTTTGGATTTTGTATGCAGTTAATTGAGGGCGAGTGCTGTTCACCTTTCCAATGACCTTAGCTCGAATCACTAATTGGTAAAAAAGTCAGATGTGACAAAAATTGTTGTTAATGTGAATGTTAATGTTAATGTTCATTTTATTTTAAAAAAATATTCCTGGATTACATTACATTTGTCCAAAGCAAAAACATTTCTCATATTTTGCATTTCAAGTTTTCCAAGATTGAACACAAAATAAGATACTAGAACGAATGTTGGGAACCAAACAACACTGGAGCCCATTGAAAAACACAGACATTTCTCAAAATATCTTCCTGTGTTACACATGGAAAAAGTCATACAGGTATGAAATGACTTGGTGAATAAATGATGACAGAATTTTAATTTTTGTGTGAATTGTCGTGTTAAATACTTTGACGCTACAAAAGAGCTCGTTACTGAAAAATAAATTACAGATTTAAATAAGTAATGTCATATATTGTCTTATCTCAAAATATCTTCCTGTGTTACACATGGAAAAAGTCATACAGGTATGAAATGACTTGGTGAATAAATGATGACAGAATTTTAATTTTTGTGTGAATTGTCGTGTTAAATACTTTGACGCTACACTCTCACAGCGCAAGACTAAACTATATACTCAGCTCTGGACCAGATACAGCTTTCTTTGTCTCTCTCTAGAGATCTCTAAATTGTAGTGGGCATCTTATATAGCTCTTATGCCTCCCACCCATCTAACCTCAGGAACCCCACCTCATGCACAGTCATGCACATCAACACTCAAGTGTGTTCATGAAGAGTCCTGTTCCGCATAACGTACAAAAGATTGAGCGATAACAGAATAAAGCAAAAAACACTTTGGTAAACCATCATGAGGAATCACATTTTCCTTGATATTTCAACTTCAAATAAGAGTTCATTGTACTGTGGAAACACACTGTGACTTTGAGGGCTTTATCCTCCGTCCAAAAAGAGCTTCTATTGAAAATGACCTGCAAAATAATGCTGTTGTCAGACTCCCAGTAACACAGCTTTGTGCTGCTGAGGCTGATGGATCTACTCAGACATACACTACTGTACATCCCATCACAGTACAGTTATAAGAGAACAAAGAAAGAGACAGAAAGAGACAACATCAGCCCTCAAATTGTGAAATGTTTATAAAGCAGCATGTTGCAAAGCGTTGCATAAGAGACTTTCATCACACAATCTATCACTATAATGTGGCATAAAAATAAAAAGTGTTTTAAAAAATATTTGCATTCTTATTTAAAGCATATGTATTATTAAGAAAGCCATATTTGTGGATATATGAAAAGATATCTTAAGCTCAGAACAAAACATTTCACTTAATATTTAAATGCAATCTGTCAACAGAAGCTAGTTGTTTTCATAAACTAAAACTAAACACTTAACCAACAACCAGTGGATTGTTGATATCACCGTTCAGTCCTGATATCTACAGTACAGCTTCTTGATATCAAAACAATTCCCAGTTCTAAAGCAAAACACTAAATCCAGCAGTTCACCCAAAAAATAAAGCTTGCATCCAAGATGTTGTTGTAGGTGTAGGTTTTTTCTTCAGTGCAATAGTAAAGAAGTTTTTAGCTGAAACCATGTTCCTTGATGATTTGAGAGTCAAAAAATCAATACAAAATTAAACCTGTGGCTCCTAATTATTTTCACTATTATTATCTGTAATCCAGAGCCTCAGGCAAATAAAATTATGTTCACAAACAAATTGTTATTTTGAACTGGTTCTTTTTAGTAAACTCGATGAACCAGAGAGACCAATCTACTTCAAGTGTATTCTATGAGTTCAACGCGCTCTAAGGGAGCTTCTTTGTGTTGGTGGAACAGCGCTACAGCGGTGGTCGTTTTTCTGTGTCAAGTGGGTTGCACACATCAGGCTGCACTACCCCATTTCTGTTGCAGGCGGCCATCTACCCTGTGCGCTTCAGCATGTTAAAAGAGCTTGTTTCCCTAAAAGAATATTTGAGCTAAATCTGCCTCGATCTAGTTCTCTTCCTGGTAGAAGTCATGGGAGGATTACATCAGGCAATATCTCAGGCGGTCTGAGGATCACAATGATGGCTACCCCTCCGAGGAACCAACCTCCCAGGGTCCCTCAATCCTCTAGCACTCCGCAACTAGTCAAGCTGCCCAAGGAACGTGCTGGGACATCTAAAAGGAGTGTATCAGTCGTATCCTTTGGGGCTCCTCACGACGACTGGATGTCAATCGCTGCATCGGACGGTGAGCTTGAGCTTTCTGGAGAGGAAGATTCGGCTGCGCTGCTGCTCTCTGGGATGGTAGCAATGCCTGAATTGGATCCAGAAATGATGTCTATGCTTTCCCAGCCCGCCGAAAGGGTAGGGCTCGAGTGGAGACGCGGCACTCACCGGGAGCAGATCACACCGGCCTGCCACCAAACCTTTAGCCTGTGGTCAGACCTTACTTTTCTTCGGGCAGGAGTGCCCCTAGAGCAGGTCTCCAGGCATGATGTGGTACACACGGATGCCTCCACCACCGGCTGGGAGGCCACGTAAAACGGGCATGCAGTGTTAGTGGTTCAAACGAGCCCCCAACTACATTGGCACATCAACTGCCTCGAGTTGCTAGCAGTACGCCTTTGCCTCCCATCACATGTCGCAACTCGCCTGCCATATCCTCCTTTGGAGTCAAAAGCATCTGAGGTCACTTTGTGCTGTTCACATTCCTGGTCTGCTCAAACGTGCAGTCAACGAGCTGTCACAAGCTGCGCTCCCGGGAGAATAGAGACTCCATCCCCAGATGGTCCAGTTCATTTGGAGATGTTTCAGAGAGGCTTAGGCAGACCTGTTTGCCTCTCCAGAAACCTCTCACTGCCAGCTGTTTTCCTCCCTGACCGAGGGAACACTAGGCACTGACACGCTGGCACACAGATGGCCGTGGGCCCAGCGCAAGTATGCGTTTCCCCCAGTGAGCCTTCTTGCACAGACACTGTGCAAGATCAGGGAGGACGAGGAGCAGGTCTTGCTCTTTGCGCCCTAGTTACCCTTTCACAGAACTGATGCTCCTCGTGACCACCGTGGCAGATTCCTCTGAGTAGGATCTACTTTCTCAGAGATGGGGCACCCTGTGGCACCTGCCGCCGAACCTCTGGAAACGCCATGTTTGGTCCCTGGATGGGACACGGAAGTTCTAGGTAACCTACCCCAAGAGGTAGCGGTAGAGACAGAGGTAGTCACCATCACTTCGGTGCAAGCACCGTCTACGAGACACGCTTACGCCTTGAAGTGGAACTTGTTCATCGAATGTGGAGATGCCCCTGGAGATGCCCGATCAGAGCCGTGCTTTCCTTTCTGCAGCAAGTGTTGGAGCGAAGGCTGTCTCCCTCCACCCTTAAAGTCTGCATTGCTGCAGTATCTGTGAATCACAACCCTGTCAATGGTAAGATGATAGGGAAACCTCCTCGATCTCCCTCTATACCCTCTTGGGACCTGAGTCTGGTGCTCAGAGCACTACAGCAGAGCCCTTTCGAGCTAAAGTTTCTTTCATTGAAAACTCTGCTCCTGGTTGCATTGGCCTCCATCAAGAGGGTAGGGGACCTGCACGCATTTTCGGTCGACGAATCGTGCCTAGAGTTTGGGCCGGCTGACTCCCAGGTAACCCTGAGGCCCCGGCCCGGCTATGTTCCCAAGGTTCCCACTACTCCCTTCAGTGATCAGGTAGTAAAACAGCAAGCGCTGCCCCCGGAGGAGGCAGACTCAGCCCTAGCTTTTCTCTGTCCCATCCGAGCCTTGAGATGGTACATGGACCGGACACAAGGCTTAAGGCCTCAGATCAGCTCTTTGTCTGTTACGGAGGTGGCAGAGGGGAATGCCGTCTCCAAGCAGAGGATGGCCCACTGGATAGTCTTATCAGGCACAGGGTGTGCCCTGCCCGCTCAAGTTGTGAGCTCACTCTGCTAGAAGTGTTGCATCCTCCTGGGCGCTGGCTCGTGGCGCCTCGCTAACAGACATCTGTAGAGCTGCGGGCTGGGTGACCGCTAGATTTGATAGTCTTCATGTTGAGCTGGTATCCTCCTGTGTTCTCACCTCAAACAGGTAGAAGCACCAAAAGGCCCCGCCATTGTCGGCTTGCTTTGTTACAAATTGTGATATTTCTGCTCCAGACAGTTCAGTTTCAGACCCTGTCGAGCTCCTCCATCACCCTCCACCAGGCCTTCAATCGATGAATCCATGAGAACCGGTAGGAGGCTGGGTGCCATATGTAGTGACCCGAGGGTATGCCATATGTACTGATCCCACATGTGTATTCTTCCATGGTATAGCTTTAAGCCCGTGTTTCCCTGGCAGATGTTCTCTGCCATCTCTACAAATGGGTTACACCTACTTCTAAATCTTCCATATGTACAGAGGCCCTAACGAGTTAATCCATATGCTTAAATGCCTCCAGAAACCCCTTTCGGGGTATGGGGCTTCCGCAAATTTCCTGTTCCAGCAGAACAGGTACTTTTCCTATTGTTATCCAATCTCACTGACTGGGTAGTGCAGAGGCAACAGAGACTGGTCTTCCTGGTGTGAGCCTTGGCCTACACTCTAACAAAGGGCCACAGGAGGCTCACACAGGGCACTGAAAGGGGCAGCATCCATGGCATTTTGGTAGGGACCCCCAATTCCTCAGTATGGACATGACGTCGAAAGTGACCATCTGAAAGGGAATGTCTCGGTTACGTATGTCACGTCCCGTCGCCACAGCTGCTGTACCACCGCTGAGTGGCCAGGTCACCAGCTCGGCTCCTCAGCAAAAAACTGTTGCACCTGCTGCCTATTTATACTCGCGCTGCGATCAGTGGGAGCTGGATGCAATTATCGCATGCCAATGTGCATTGGCTCGTTTAGTTTCCACTCCAAGTAGAATTGGAGATCCCCCAATTTGTCGTTATTAATTTGTCGACTTAGACCCTGTGCGCCTCACTCTCCCCACAGCGAGATGACTCCCCAGTGCTCTTCTCCCACAAAGACCAGTGCACCTGGGGCAGTTTGCCACTCTTACAGTAAGCCAAATAATAAAAAAAGCACCTC